CAGTTCTTTAGATATTCTTGAAATGGACCCTTTATTCGTCCCAGTATTGGATGATGTTGTATCGAAGCATATTCCTTGAATTTTTGATATAAGTTGATATTCTTTAATTAAATCTATTATACCACAAAATTGATCTTCACCGGTGGATGACAATAGCGGAGGTACTCCATGTAGGTAAGAATCTCCATTAATGTTAACTAAAACCGCCATTCTATCCCTCTTTAATATTTTTTTTTTTGTTTAGTTTAAACAATGTCTTGCCGTCAAAATGAATTATACATGGATATGGAGATGCATCAATGGCTACTTTAACATCTTCTTTTGCAATTGTTGATATGTTTTCGTTTTCTTTTTTCATTTTTCTATATGCGGTAGGCTGACTGCTTTTAACTTCTTTAGGTCAACACCTGATTGATATAGAATTGCATTTGTTACCTTCTGTAAAACATTTGGTGATATATCACAGGCTGTGGCAGTAAGAGAAACATTACCAGCAAAAATATCTTTTGGAACTTTTGCAATTACTGTGTCTGTGTTTTCAGAAACTTCTATATGATACCAATCGCCTGGATCAAAATCAGATTCAATTGAAGAATCCTTGCTTAGATCTGTGTCTATAAGTTCAACCTTGTGTACATCATCTCCAAAACTTATAGGCTGTGAACGATTTTTCTTCCTTATACTTTCTTTTGCCTAATTTATAAAAATGTTTTAGTAATAGTTTTTAATTTTAGAATTAGTGGAAAAGAGAATAAAGTAATAGAGGTTAAACCAAAGCTTAAGCAGTGAACTAAAAGCATTGAATAACTTTTTTCTATACTTAATATCTTCTGAACCAATAACAAACTTTCTTTGACCTTCCTGATCTTCAATAAATTTTAAATCTTCAATCTTGTTTCTAAGGGATCTTTTTTTATCTTGACTGATCATGTTTTTGAGATTAAAATTACCAGCCAAAAAAGTTTTTTATTTCAATCTCAAACTCGTTTTGTTTAGCCAAATCACCATTAGTTCCTCGTTTTTTCATTTTTTTTCAAGTTGGAATAAGACTTGTGCAAATTAAAAAGTTTCTTAACTAAAACTAAATCAGTTAACACATCAAATCCAGCTTTAATCCAGGATCTCTTTTTTTTTTTTTTTTTTTTCTTTTCGTGACTTTCTTCGTAATGGCCCCTGGGTAGAAATCTTTCGTCTCCCTGTTGACAAATGTCCTTCTTATATAACTTCCTAGATTCAGGCTGGCATGGAATCCTTTATTCCCTCTCGACGATTCCAGGTCAAGCCTCACTCTTCTCCATGGTTTTCCTCACATTGTGCTGCTGCAATTGCCAATCGAAACCATTACTTCCATATCTATCAGCAAAACAATTCTTCAGAAAACAGACGTCTCTTTATTACTGCTAGGAACCATTGTAAAAAGGTTTTGTCTAACGCCAAAACCTGCTAATCTCAGATCATGAAATCTCGTATTTCATCACAAAAATTAGGCTCTTGTGACTTCTGGAGAATCTTTAATAGTATCAATAATAAGGGCAAGTCTGCAATTCCACCTCTTTTGTACGGTTCAGACTTTTTTTTTTTTTTTTTTGCATTCACTCCCAATAAGGCTGCAAGCAACCACTATTAAGTTGGGAGTTACTAGGAAAAAAAAAGAGTTATAGAGCAAGGAAACGGTTGACAGAAGACTTGAAAAGTTGAAGGTTGTATGAGTCAGGAAAACATGAAGATGGGAGAGAGTTCCAAAGGATTGAAGTGCGGGGAAAAAAACTAGATGAATAAAAGTTTTTAGAGCATGCAGGGACAAATACAGTAAACGAATGAGACTTAGCTGAATGACGAGTAAAACGAGAATGAATTTTAGTTGATGGAACTAGAGATCATAACTCCTTTGAGCAGTGACCATGATAGTATCTGTAGAAAAGAGAAAGAGATGCAACTTTACGACGATGGGAAAGAGGCTCAAGCTTAGCAGATAGTCCAGGTCCAACAACATTTACAATGCGTTTTTGGACCTTGTCAAGAAGAGAAAGTGAATCGTTAGAAGAACCAGCCCAAATATGACAACAGTATTCCATACAGGGACGAATAAGAGATTTGTAGAGGTAGAGAATGGAATCAGAAGTAAGGAAATGGTGAGCACGATAAAGAGAAGCAACCTTAGCAGAAGCTAATTTAGCAATCGATTGTATATATGGTTTCCATGAAAGGTCAGTAGTAAGCGATAATCCAAGAAGACGTAAAGAGGAGGACTCAGTAAGAGGATTGCCATTCATTAATATAGGAATGTTGACCATATTACGGTAGTTATTTGCAGTAAACAACTGGGTTTTGTTAGAATTGAAATTCACAAGCCAATGTGAACCCCAATCTATTACTGAAGTGAGATCGGATTCTAGATCAGCTGCTTGTTCTAAGCGATCAAAAAGAGAAGACTTTTTGTCAAGACAAGAGTATAAAGTTGAGTCATCAGCAAAAAGAGCTACTTTAGATGAAAGGTTGTCAGGAAGATCGTTTATGTAGATAAGAAACAAAACAGGGCCCAGGATGGAACCTTGGGGAACCCCAGAAGTTACTGGAAATAAAGAAGAGTGTTGGTCTTCAAGGATGACTTTAATAAACCGGTTAGAAAGAAATGATTTGATAATCTCAAAAACTTTCCCAGAAACACCATATGAAGCAAGCTTATGGAGAAGACCAGCATGCCAAACTTTGTCGAAAGCTTTAGATATGTCAAGAGCAATAGCCCTAGCCTCACCGCCTCCATCTAATGCACGATAAAATCTTTCAGTTACAGCAGTTAGCAAGTCGGCCGTAGAGCGAGAGGATCAAAAACTGTATTGATTGTCTGACAGCAGTTTATTTGACTCAAGATGAGATGTGAGGAATTTGTTGATCAAAGACTCAAAGACCTTGCTAATAACAGAAAGAAGACTGATCGGACGATAATTGGAGGGGTCAGAATTTTCTCCAGAGTTTTTGAATATTGGAACCACAGATGCCATTTTCCAACAAGCAGGAAAACAAGACTCAGTCAAACACTTGTTAAATAGTTTAGATAGAGTTGAAGAAAGTTCTAGAGAACAATTCTGCAAGACTGTGACAGGAATGTTTTCTGGACCACAAGCTGTAGGCCAGTTTAATTGAGATATGACATTAGCAACAGAAGCCGGAGTGATTTGAATGTCCAACAATGGGTCAACCTGTTTGACTGGAATGGAAGGAAGAGAATGTCCATAAGATTCAAGAGTGGAATTAGAAGAAAAGTTCTTTGGAAATAGTTCTGCCTTATCCTTGGGAGAGGTAATAAGATCAGTCCCATGAATGAGAGATGGAATGTTAGATCTATCCTTGTTAATAATGCTGTTGAAGATTTTCCAAAAGTCTTTAGAGCCTAACTTCTGTGATAAGATGCAAGATTTAGTGAACTGAGAATAATGGAGTTTACCATCAGAAAGCACCTTTTTACATCAATTTCTTGCAATAATAAATAGCCGTTTGTTCTCAAGAGAGTTGTTCTTTTGAAAAAGATGAAAAAAATGATTATGATTAGATATAGCAGCCGCACAAGAAGGAGAAAACCATGGAGTAGAATGAGGCTTGACTTGAAACCGACGAGAAGGAATAAAAGCTTCCATTCCAGCCTGAATCCAGGAGGTTACGTAGGAGGTGCATTTGTCAGCTGAGTGAGAAAAAACATCAGCCCAAGGACCATCATGAAGAAAATCAGAAAGGAATCCCAGTCAGCTTTAGGATAGTAGTAGGTGGTGCGATGATAAGGTGAGCCCAAAAAAGAAGTACGAGAAGAAAGATTTATAGAGATCATTGCATGGTCAGAACCACCTAAGGGAGAAACTGAACATAAGCTAGGGTCAGAGACAAGACATAAGTCAAGGAGTGAAGGTAAATGATTAGGGTTGTCAGGAAAACGAGTCACAAAGTTAACTATCTGAGTAAGAGATTGAGAAACACAGAAGTTAAAGGCTTTAGTGCCAGCAGGATCAGTGGTGTTAGAGCCAAGCCATTCAGTGTGATGGGCATTAAAATCACCAACAACAACAATATTGGCAGAGGGGTAAAGAGAGAGGGCATGGTCAATTTGATCAGAGATAACATCTAAGAGAGTGCAATCATGGGAAGAAGGAGAACGATAAAGAACAAAAAGAAAGGTGATAGAGTGAAGAGGTGCCAGGCGAAAGCACATAAAAGAATGGTCAAAGGATTTGAACCTGATTTCACGACAAATAGGGGAATTAATGCGGGAATTAATATATACATATATATATATATATATATATATATATATATATATATATATATATATATATATATATATATATATATATATATATATATATATATATATATATATATATATATATATATATATAAACATGTTATAACATATTTTGTTAAAAAAAATATAACAGAACTATTAAATTTTTTTTTTCCATATCTTACTAAAAATCTTTTAGAAGATTATTATTTTAAGTTACTTTAAATAATAAGTTAAATCTTCCAGTTGCAATGGAATGATTAATTGCTTTACTTTTTTTATTTCTATTTTTACAAAGAATTGTTCAAAACCTTTTTTTTTTAACCTGACTTACTAATAAGAGCAAATGATTTAAAATATATTTTATTAAGACTACGTTATTTTTTTAAAAAGTTATTTTATAAAACATTTCTAAAGATAAGTTTTAAAGTAATTTAATTCAAAAGCGATTGAATGAAAAATATAATTTTTGCAAACAAAAAATAGAGTGATTTTTGTTTAAAAGTAAAAACAACTTTAAAAGTTGCTTGAGAAACATTGTATTGCAAAGATGTTAATCTTTACACATCTAATATAACTGCTATTTATGTTAAACAATCTAACTCAATAAAATATTTTATTAAACAACTAACTTATAAATAAATTGATATTACAAATTTTATGAATTAAATAATATTACTAATTTTTTGAACTCTTAATTAATATTGTATTTTTCAGAAAAGTTTTTAAAATGTGCAAAACCTCTGGTAATTTATCGGTTAACCAGTAATAGATTTTTTTGTTACCAAATTACCAAATAAATTAAAAAGGTTGGTAATTTTGCAATCCCTATTTGTATTCATTTTAATAAAACAATACTATTTTTTTTTTTAAATTTCAAGTATTGGTTTGTTTTATCAATAATTTTAATAATATTTTCAATTATTTGTTTCTCTGGTTATAAGTATAAAATTTTGTTATTATTATTATTTTTTTTTTTGTTATTAATTTTGTTATTAATTTTTTTTAGTTCTCTATAAATATTATATATATTATTAGTTGAAAATGAAGGTGCTGGGTTTAATATTTCATTTTATTTGTTTTATTTCAGGTATGCTTTTATTATCTTACATATTAAATATTACTGTTAGAAATATTTCAAAATAAAATGTTTATAATTGCTTCTATGTTTAATATGTTAATATATAAGTATAATAAATTTAACAGAGATTTAATTTGTTACTACTGTATATTTATTATCCAGTTTAATATTTATAAGTTTTTTAAAATCAATTTATAAATGTAAGATTCATGTTTCTGTTAACATTTATCCTGGGGATACTTAAACTGTCTGTATCAGGACCAGGCTTTTAGTAAATGGTGCTATAGGCAATTAATATTGGGGTATGGTTTCACAAGCTTCTTTAAAATCTACATTTATGACTTTGAATAATTTAGAATTTCACTGATTCCTAATAATTTTTTCTTATTATTTTAATATCTTTTTATCACAAGTTATTTGAGTCATAATACTTCTGTTTTTCGGATATTGTTTCAACAGCAAAATAATTTTTTTTTCAAGGTTAGATCTTCTCTACAGTTAATGAGCGTTTGATGAGTTAAGCAGTCACTTGGCACTGCTAATAATAAATTCAGCTTCAATCAAATTTGTTCAAAATTGTGGCGCTAAACATCAAATCATTTTATATTCTTTTTATATGCTTTCATTGAGCCAAAAATTTGTTCTTGACTAGAAATTAAATTTAGTTTTAAAGCATTGAAAAAGATTTTTAAAAGTATTTTAGATTTTGTTATCTTTTCTACAAAAAACTGTTTGTTTTTCTAGTGATTAAACTTTTTTCAAAAAAAAAAAAATTTTTATTCTGATGGTTTTTTTGGTTAGCTAATTTTCAATATACTTATTTTTTGTTAAAAGTAAATTTTCTCAAGAACTAGGTTGTAGTTTACTTTTTCGTAAACCATTTTTATAATAATTAGATACCTCTTAGATCTTCAGTATTTTGAGTCTCACACATTTTGAAAATAAGTTTTGACTTATGCTCTTTTGTTACACATTTGAAAATTTTTCTTATCTTTTATTGAATAAGGTTCTTTAATATTTAAACTGCATAAGTTGTCTTTCTTACCTAATTTGTTGTTTATTATGGCTGACAAATGGGTAATTCCGTATAAAATGATCTAGAAATTTTTAAAAATGTCACCTAGTATCTTAGACTTTTCTGATTTTTATACAGTTGAGAGTACATAGTAAAAAAAGAATTCTTAGTAAAAAACTTAGTAAAATTAGTAAAGTACTTAGTAAAATAAGAATTCCTTGACAATTCTAACCTCTGGTTTCAAGTAAATCCTGAAATATGACCATTTTTGTTTTAGCAGATACTGGCCAGCCCCTTATGTGGCAAATTTTCAGGTGTGGCTAATCTAGCAAAATGATTAGAATTGTAAAAAAAAAATTTCAGCGACCTATAATTATCAATTTAAATAAATTTAGGCAATTTTTTATATACCAGATTTTGATGCTCAAGAAACCCATGTGGCCTTGATGATATCAAAAAAAAAAAAGATTACACATCATTTTATATTTATTGATCTTTCAAAAAATAAAAAGATTTTGATCTGCAAATACATGAATTTCTATATATGAATAATGGGGTACTGTCCCTACATTTTTGTAGCAGAGTATTGCAATTGATTTTTCACTACCTTCCAGACTAGCTGGAGCTCTGAAATTTTTGGAATTTCTGTGGTACCAATGATTGTGCATTTTTAAGTTGTTTTCAGGGTCCAAGACACCAGGGGTGGGGCTCCGTCATGGCCTTACTTTTTTGTAGTGGAGTCTTGTGATAGATTTTTCTCTAGTTTCCAAAGAAAATAGAGCTCTACAACTTTCTCAAAAAAAAATTTTTTTTGCATTAATATTTAAGTATATATATCTTTGAAAATATTGTCTTCAAAATTTTTTTTTTGTTTACATTTGTTCCATTTCTTTTTTGATCATTCTGTATTCAATGATCTTTCTTAAAATGTTTTAAGAATTTCTTTAAATGTTTTATGCATATGTTTATAAGATTTTTGATTTGCAAGGATATGGATTAAAAACAGTTATCCATCTCAAATCGCAACAAATTGTTTTTTTTATTTAATAAATGCTGATATTCGTTTCTTTAATTATTGATGAACGTCTTTTTTTTAATTTTTTATTTATTTATATTATTAATTAAAAATTTTGAGTTTAAGAGGTATGTCGAATACCATCCCCAACCCCCACCCCACACACACATACTTTTTTTTTGTTATAAGACAAATTCTAGATATAGAGGACCTTTTTTTAGAAATAGATGGTTGTGCACCTCCACTTTAAAATTTTTTGATATTTTTGACAGGAAGATGTGCGTTAGCCTGTCTTTATATGACCAGGCAGATTACATTTTACTTTGAGAATTTGACCGCAACTTTCAAAAAACGTTTTAAAAACATGCAAAATAAAAAATATTCTGAGTTATTCCTTAAGTGAAATAAATTTTTTTTTAAACTAATTATGTTTTTTTTATAATAAATAAAAAACTATTAATTGCATAATTTTTTGGAAAAAAAATAGCTGAGGTTATGCATTCATTTTAAAAAAATTTTAAGCGAATGCCAACGTTTGCTTAAGTAAAAGCAAGGATGTGATGTTTGTTTTTCTGTCTTTTTTTTTTAATGTTTGCTCATTTTTTTAATGTTTGCTCGTAACAGACAGAAAAACATTGATCTATCAGACAACAAAAATTGAAGAATACAAATTGATATTATCAGAGGCAATAAACAAGTGAGCAGCTCATTCCTACACAGCAAAATGTCAAGTAAAATACCTAGGCAACAAAAGAAAAATTTGGCAAAAAACTGCTATTTTGTCTTAAGTGATTTTGCAGAAAACTACACGTTTGTGATTCAAGATAAAATCCAAAGTTACCAATGGTGCCTAAGTCAATGTATTTTACACCATATTGCCTTCTATTTATTAAACGAAAATGACCAGCTTAAAGAAAAATTATTTTGCTTTATGTCAAAAGATAATGAGCATGACATTATTTTATGTATAAAGTTCAGACACAAATCATTGATTATTCAAAAGAATATCATCCTAATATTTCAAAGGTTCTTTATTTTTCAAATGGTTGTGCTGCAAAGAATAAAAAATACCTTAACAATATCTGGTTCCTTAAAGATGATTTTGACATTGGTGCAGATAAGATATTTTTGCTACAAGTTATGGTAAGTCACCACGTGATGATATTGGTGGCACTGTAAAACGATTATCTGCAAATACAATTTCATAAAGCCCCATAAATGACCAGATAGTGAATTGTAATAAAATGCTTTACTACTTTATAAAAAATATTAAAGGGGTTATTTTTTTCAAACATGAAAAAAAAATACTGACAGAATTATGCACCACTTTGGAAAAATATTTTCAGCTAAGTAGAATAATTCCTGGAATTAGGAGCTATCATCAATGTAACCCAGAATTTACAGATACTATCAGCTTTAAACGAAAATCAGTTGCAATATTCCACTACAAAAAATGGGAACTGTGCCCCATTATCCATATATGAAAATCCATATATTTGCAGATCAAAATCTTTACATTTTTTGAAAGATCAGTCAATATAAAATGATGTGAAATATAGCATTTTTGATATCATCAAGGTCACATGGCTTTCTTTAGCATTAAAAACAATAAAAAATTGCCTATATTTATTTAAATTGATAATTACAAGTACTTAATAATAATTTTTTACAATTTTGATCATTTCATTGGATTTGTCACCTCCAAAAATAGCCAGGTACAAATTTTTATGTGAAAAAATCAAATATTTTTAAAGTTGTGTGACTTGAAACCTTTAAATAAATGTTGCAATTTTAAGGGGACAAGAGGGGCCTGGTCAAAGTAAAACAATTATATTTCAGAATCTTCTGGAGCCAGAGGCTAAAAATGTCAAAGAATTATTATTTTACTAATCACTCTTAACTAGATAAAAATCAGTAAAATCTGAGATGTATGGTAACATGACCTAGGTCGTTTGACATTTTTTTTCAAAAAGATCAGAATTATTCTGATCTTTTTGAAAAAAATTATATACTGCAACTAAGAATTCCTTCATAAAATCTCTTCATAAGTGCAGGGTTTGTTTTGTTAGTGTTACGTTTAGAGCTATTGATGTACGCCCTAAGCGATTTTAAGCAGTATGTGATTTTAGTTAAGCGACTTTTTATCATTTCATTTAACTTTTAAATTATTCTATAAGCGGTAAGATAAAAGAAGTAATTAATTTTTATAAAAATCTCATTAACTTTAAATGACATTTATATAAAATATTTGTTACAAAATTTGAATGAAGTTATGTTATGTTAGATATAAGCGCTATTTACTGATGAAAAAAAATCAAATAAAATTAAAAATTTATTATTATTTTGTTTTTATTTTATTTTAATGATTGATTTTTTCGCTTTAAAAAACGCTAATATTTTGAGCTTGAAGCAAAGATCATAATAACATAGTTTAGTTCTGATAAAAAGTATATGATTTAATTTAAAACTAGTTTAATAAAAATATATAATTTTATTCACATAAAAAAATATATAATTTAATTTTGATTTAAAAAATATATTTAAGTTTATTAAAATTAAAGTTAATGCTTAGGTTTAACTAAACTGTCAAATTTATTTAAAAATTTTACTAAATATTATTCAATATTAAAATTTTATTTGATCTTAAAAAAAAATTAGCTCATTTTTATCGCAATTGTTTTTTACTCAAAATTAAATTTTAAATAAATGACTGCATCAAAAATTTGCACGAAACATATATTAAATTATAATAGATATATACAGCGATATAATTTTAATAAATGATGTTTGGAAAAATAATCTTTGCTTTCATAACAAAATTGTTAATGAAATAATAAACTTTTAATAAATTAAGTAATTTTTTATTTTTTAAATAAAGTAAATTTTTAATAAATAAAGTAATTTTTTTATTTATACTCACTAATTTTTTTAAAATAAAAAAATCTTTTTTAGTTTCAAAGCCGCAATTAGAAATTTAAGAAATTATCATTTAAAAATTCAAAAATGCATCATATTTTAATTTATTTATGCAATTTATGAGAAAAGAAAGAAATTTGTTAATATTAGTAAACGACCCGGGCTGGTATTTGACCTGGGTTAAAGCCAAGTTTTATGGTTGAGTAAATATTAGGTTTATGGCTGAATAAATGGTTTATGGCTGGTTTTTGGCTGAATAAATAATAATGCATATTGATATAATATATATAAATAAGTCAGTATGCACCAATATTTATGCAGTCCCGTCCATAGAACTGGCCTTAGCCACAGTGAAAGACCAGCCCTGGTCTTTAACTAGTTAATATCAAACATTTTTAAAATTGTAATATTAAATTTAATTATTTTATATTGAAAAAAAAAATTAAAGAAAATAAACATTCTCTTATAGTAATAATAAAAAAGAAGTTAAATAACATTTAACTTTTTGCAGTAATTAACATTATTGCAGTAATTTAAAAAAGTTATATCTTTAAAAAATAAAACAATGAGAATGACATCATAAGCATTTTTTATTTAAAACAAGGTAATGAGTAAAATCAAGTGGTTGTTTTTTATTTTATTTTTTTCTTTTGAAAGGTTACCTTCGATTAAGTTATATTCAAACAACTTAGTTTTTTTGTAATATAAGATAATTTTTGTTCTGTTTTTGCATCTTGTATTTTTACATTTTTTCGCTTCTCTGTCAATCTTGAAAGCTAAGACAGTGTTTGATTTTCATTAATGTTAATGTAACAACATGTAAAGTTTGTATGTTGAAATTGATTTTCATTAATATATTGTTAATGTAACAACTAAGTTTGTATGTTGAAATCTGTTAAAAACTTCAAGTTAAAGTATAAACTAGGATGAGTCAATATAATTTGTATGGATAAAAACATGCCAGAGAATAGAATGTATACTTGTTGCTAAAATTTAATTTCAACTTCAAATTTAATCGTATGTTGCAATGACCACTAGGCATATGACTTTTAAACTTTTTGAATAAAAATTGATTTCCTGGGGTTTCAGTAGATGAACTTTTATATGAAGATTGCATTTATTATTCCTTCAGTGAAAAATTATAAAAAAAGGTGGCGCATCCATAAGCATCTTTTGATGACGTCACTATTCAATATAAAACTTTAAACAAATGGCGTTATATAATTATATTGCACTAAATGTAGGTAATGTTTTATACCTTAAATGTTAGCTTCTTATTGCTAATTCAAGCTTAATATAGTTTTAACAATCTGCCTTTAACCAGTAGGCTTATACTTTTGAAATTTCATATTAAAAGTAGAGTTTCTAGTAGTTTGGCTTTATAAGCTTCAATTTTTCTCATCTGCTTTTGACTAATTGCTTTGTTGTTTTATTGTAGAAGGTATTCTGACAGAAAAAGTTTAGATTTTATTTAGTTCATCAAAGGCATGTTTAAACTATCACGTATTCTAGTTGATAAAAGCTCCAATGTATGACAGCAGAATGTAAAAAGCAAAGTTGTCAGGCGTTTAGAAATACCTTTGCGATTTACTTAAATAAAATTAACTCTGCAAAATGCCTCTTCACAGGGAAATTATTGGGCATTTTTTGGGATTACATTATAAAATAAAGAAGAAAATAAGAATAGAAACTATTGCAAAGGAACTGAATTTACTTTGGAATAAATTTAATTTTCCTGTCATATCAATGCAACGTGTCCACCTAAAAATTGAAAATCTAATTAATGCATATGTGAGATACAGAAAGAAAAAGGATAAGAGATTTGTAGAGGAATTAGCAAGCCTCTTTGCTACAATTTTACCTACTGCAGATTGATTCTCATGGTACTGTTGGATGCACAACTGCCAAGCTTGTATCAGTCTCAACAATTCATCCGTCTAAATGCAGAAAAGTTATGCAATCTTCAGTTGAAAAACAAATCATGGTAACCTCAGATCAATCTGTGCAAGAAACTGATGCTGAAATATCACCTGGTGATGATTTTATACCTGAAGTGGAAACAAAGAGAAAAAAAATATCAAAAAATCAAGGCTGCTGTAAATCTGGTTACCAAATATTCGCTATCTACAAGACAATCATCCAGAGTTTGTTCTAGTCTAGCTGCTGAATGTTCTGCTAAGTTACCCACACCATCACAAAATGAAATATCGAAAAGAGTGGTCAGAGATGGTATTAGAAAGGCTGCTGAAATAAAACGCATTCTTCAGCAGGAAAATGATTTCTGTTTGCATTTTGATGGAAAGAAACTGTCATCTAAAGAATATGAAGTTGTTTGCTTGCAAGGAAATTGAATTTAGGTATCATCATATGTGAAACTGGTTTGGCTCCAAACATATTTTCTGGATTGAAGAAGCTCTTAGATGACTTCGATGCATGGAAGAGTATTAAAATGATTCTGTGCAATACAACAGCAGTCAACACTGGTAGCAGAAATGGAATAATTGCTCAGCTTTATAAAGAATTTGAAAGAAAATGTATTATTAGACCGCAGTACATTGGGTGTCAACACCACATCCTTGACTTGGTTCTTCGACATTTACTTGACTTCTATGTTCCAACAGTCTCACAGAAACCAGATATAAACTATGAGTTTGTTGATAACATTTGCAGTCAGTATGAGAACCTTCAGCGAAACATACCGGTGAAGTCGAAGCACCTGCTTCTGAAAATGCTGGATGGAGGAGTGATTTCAAGTTTCTATTCGAACTTTGTGAGGCTTACAAAGTGTACAAGAAATGCACTAAATTTTCGAAAATCAAGTGGTGAAAACTTCCTTCACTTCATAATGCAAGATGAAACTCTAGAGCAACATATGCTCTACTAGCTTATTTTCTTCTGGAAGAACATCGTCAGCAGCTAAACAGTATCTGCAACTTTATATCAACTGTATGGGCATCAGTGTGGTTCTCTAATCAGCATTTCACTGAACACAGTTTTGAAGAATTGCATTCTGCTGTTTCAGAATTTGATTGCCAGAAAGCAACAAAGTGTTTCCAAACGCATTAGGTAAATCAGCCTTCAGTCATTGACATTCCACGATCAAACATTGTGGCTAAAAGAGCATTCAAAATAAAGGAAGACATTTACACTACCTGCAAAAGTGGCTAGTATTTTAATGCTAAATTCTTAAACTCAAATTTACAATTGTAAACACTCAACAGTGACTAAAGTAAGCATATATTCATATGGATGTTTAAAATTTCTGTTTTACAATATATAACTTGTGTGAATTAAACATTGTAGCTATTTCTTTAAGGGTGCGCTAGGTTTTTTAAAATTGAAACAAAAATTAAGTCATATTTATTATATTTAGATAAAAGTTCATTATTTACCACCCCAGGAATCTAGATTAAAAAAAAGTCATATACCTAATAACCACGCATATTTTTTTTTTTGTTGATAACAAAATGTCCAATGATGGCCACGATTTTTTTTGCATATATAAAAAATGACGCATTTTAAAAACCCGCTGAAAAAAACAAACTAATTAGTCATCTTATTGTTTTTTTTTATCAACAATAACTTTCACAATAACCGCTCGATAATGTAAGTGATGTAACTTAAGTCAAATATACAGTATCAAAAAAACAAGTTTATTTTTCTTAGCCGGTCAACTCTGATAGGTTTTTATAAAAATTTTAAATTGGTATCGAATTCTCAGCATTTTGTGAAAGTTTCTAATAGAAACTGCTTTACTGATTTGTAGAAATCAGACCTAAAAGTTGAAGCAATTTTTTACCTTGTTTTCTGTGTAACATAAGTGTAAGTGGCATTTTCAGTAATAAGTTTGCTCTCTTCTGGCCAAACTCAAAACTTTTTAGCTTCTTTTATTAATTAGACTAACAGCTTTCATACAAAATAGCTGAAAATTTAGTTTTAATTATTCACCTCCCCAAGGCCCGAGGGGGCCACTACAGTCAAGGAGGCTACTAATTTTTTTTTTTTTTTTTTTAATTTTTTTGTTTGTTTGTTTGTTGTAAAAGCATGCGCTCTTACCACTACACCACTACCGCATTAAAGTTTAAATAAGCAAATATTTGATAAAGTTGTTGCACGTGTAACGTAAGTTAAAAATGTAATTGCCCATATATATGTTATTTTAATGTTTTTATTTTCTCATTAATAACTATAATAATAAAGTATTAATATGGAAATTAAAATAATATAGCAAACTAGTTTTGTTTTTCAACGCGTTTTTAAAATGTGTCATTTTTAAAATATGCAAAAAAATTCCTGGCCAAGTTATCAACAAAAAAAATTATTTGCGTGGTCATTCAAGGCGTGCTACTGAACAAGCGTTTCTGGAGAAATCCTAATATATATGTACTTTTTAACAATAATAAAAAAAAAATTAAAGCAGTAATTTATTATTAGAATGTTTTATTTGTTTGGTAATATCTCTAAGTTATAGCCCAACTTGCCCTCTTTTGAATCTGGTTTGAAGTATATAGTTTGTATATTAGTATAATATAGCTTGTTTATAATAATATATCTATATTTTTAGTGAGTTACGGATTCTATTTTTTTGATTTGTTTACATCAGTGGATGTAAATAAAGTAAATGGAGTAACCTTAGTTGCTGGACCAGAAAATGGAACTTTAGCCAGTTTATTTAACGAAAAAACAGAATCTATTAAACTTTCTAGTAGTGTTTCAAATGAATTTGCATACATTTTGCACACTGTTTCTACATCTAATGATATAACATTTGCTACTCAATTTAAAATAACTGTTACTCCTGATCCTGAAAATAGAGATGGTCAGCAGTTCATGTCAATTTTTACTTTATTACAAACTAATCTAGAAAATATTTGGTTTACAATTGGATTTAAGTTTGTTCAAACCAAGAAACAAGTTGAGAATGTTGTGATGTGAGTTATTTATTTATTTTTTTGATTGATTTTTTATTTCTTTACACTTTTTTCATAGAACAAAGCTTTGTAAAAGCCAAATTTAAAACTTTGTTATTGTATCTTTGATCATCGATCAAAGCAGCCAGTTTTTTTAGATATTATTTTATTTAAAAAGTTTTGCATTACTTACAAACATTAAAAAAAAATTAAATTACAACTTTGTTGTTAACTTATCTATGTGAGTGAAGTGTATGAAGACTGTCAGTTCTGACTTCTCTCCACCTCTAATTTTTTACTTTTTGTAAATTTAGTTTTTAAAAAGGGTTTTTATAGGGAGCCTCAAATGCAGAAACAAGTTTTGTTCATATTAAAGAAAATGTTTTAAAAAATATTTTTGATTAAAATTAAATATATGCATACTTATAAATTGTCACTTTAGTCAAAGGTCGCCATGTCCATTTTTTTTTTGGTTCTCTGAATCTGTATAATGTTAGCCGTAGTCTGAAGATTTGATAATTTGTTTTATGTGCATTTAATTCATAACAGTTTTGGTATATAATGTCATCAAAAATATATATTTTTTAAAGATATCATATTATTTTTTCTGCCACAATCATTAAATCATTTTTATTTGTATAAATTTTTACTAAATCCCAAAAAAATTTTTGTGATAAAATTAAAAAATATTGTATATCAGAGTGCGACAAATCGAGGAATATGCGAACGTTTGTTAAAAAAAAGTCTAAAAAACAAACTTCACGTTTCTTTACTTTTACTTAAGCAAACGTTGGCGTTCGTTTAAAAAATTTTAAAAACAAATGCATTACTTCAGCAACTTTTTTTTCTTCAGCAAAAAAATATATTTAAATTTAAAAAAAAATTACTTTAATTTTTAAAATCGCATTTTCAACAACTTTAAAAAAAACAAATTACTTTCATCAATAGTGTTACTTTTAAATTAAATAGCTAAGTACACTTTTAAAGAAATTAATTATGTTTTAGCATGGTTTTTACATGTGTTTACAAAAGTGTGCAAAATTAAAAAAAAAAAAACATGCTTAAACATAAACGTTTTTTTTCAAAAGCATGTTTTTTTTTAAATTTTCTTATTTTCCTTAAAGTGAAGTTATGTTTGTTTGCAGACTAAAAACACTTTTAAAAGTTTTAGAAAGATTTTCAAGTTTTGTTAAAATGTATATAATCTAATAATTTATTAAAATGTATGTATCTAATTAAGTTAAATTAAGCGATTGCAATTTACGAAATTAGGAAAAATATCTGGTCTTCAAAATTTTAGTTTATGCAAAGTTGTGTACTTTGTTTTCAAGGACAAATTATTATAAGTTTGTTAGTGAAAAAGTTATAAAGAACAAAACAATACAAAATTAATAACACTTTAGTCACAAACTGCATTATAAAAGTAATAAAACTATAATAGTGTTATTACTTTTATAAAGCACTTATAACTTTTAAAGTTCATTCTTTGTTTAAATAACATTAATAATTCCAAACTTTAATCAAATTAAAAATGCATCTAGAAAAAATGTGGATATTCAAATATTATTAAAAACTTCAGGACTTTTTATAAATACACTTAAACAACTCTATAAAAATATTCTTTATAAAAAGTTTAGCATAATGAAAAAGTTACTAAAAATGTCCGTTAAAATGCATGTTAAATTTAAAATCAACCAATGAAAAGTTTTTATTAGTTGATTTTAAAATTAATGCGAGTCTTTACGGACCATTAGTAATGTTTTCATAATGCTAAATTTTTTATAAAAAATATTTTTATAAAGTTTAAGTTCCTTAATAAGTTTTAAATATTATTTGAATATCCACTTTATTTTTCTAGATGGTTTTCTACTTCAATTAAAATTTGGGATTACTTATGTTGCTTGAACAAAGAATGAATTATAAATGTTAAAAGTGCGTTATAAAAGTATCAAAACTATATTAGTGTTATTACTTTTGTAATGCAGTTAGTTACTAGAGTGTTATTACTCTTATAGTCTTGAATTTATTATTTTATTTTTATTACTTTTTTGCTAACAAATTTAAGTTGATTCGCACCTTGAAAACAAAAATAAGGTTTTGCATAAACTAAAATTTAGACCAGATATTTTTCCGGAATTTTTAATTTTGCAATCACTTAATTCAACCCTTGTAATATAATATAAAGACTTATTTTCTTTATTAGAGTTTACTTTATTATTATAGAAATAAAATGATATTTTTATTATTAAATACTTTATATTGTATATGAAATATACATTATAATATATATATTTTTTAAAGTTTCAATTGTTTATATCGATTTTTCAGGTTATATGTATGAAATATTTTTATAACTATGTATATAAATTAAGGAAAGTAGATTTAAGTAATGATTCTGTTATTGTTATACCTTGTTGATAATTTGGTAGAAAGTTTATTATAAAATAATTTACCAAGAGGTTAGTTGAAAAGTATTTTATGTTTTTTTGAAAATTTATTTTGATTATTTTTAATTTATATATATATATATATATATATATATATATATATATATATATATATATATATATATATATATATATATATATATATATATATATATATATATATATATATATATATATATATATATATATATATATATATATATATATATCAGGGCCTATTCTAGGAAAACAATTTGGGTGGCAGTACCCCTCTGTCCCAAATAAATTTAGCAGAAAATCTGCAATTTTTTGCACAAAAAAAAACAATATTAAAATACAAAAAAAAGGACCTTAAAATTTAATTTGGGCGATGCCCAAATTTGCGCCTAAGTACAGTCGATGCTGTCAAAAACGGTGAAAAATAGCCCCTGATATATATATATATATATATATATATATATATATATATATATATATATATATATATATATATATATATATATATATATATTTAAATATATATATTTAAATATATATATATATATATATATATGTTTAAATATATATATATATATATATATATATATATATATATATATATATATATATATACATATTTATATATATATATATATATATATATATATATATATATATATATATATATATATATATATATATATATATATATATATACACACACATGTACACACACCTACATATATCAGGCCTTGTTATGAGATTTTGTTGCATAACAAAAAAACATGACTCAAGTAAATGTAACTTTACTCAATATATATATTTATATCATTAAAAGTTAAATTATGTCAGTTGCGTGTTTTAAAGTCCCTCATTGTAATTTAATTGAATTTCAAACCATGTTAAAAATCATTCAAGGTCTAAATACCTTTAAGTTAAACAACGTTGTTATGAAAATATTGTCAATGAAAATTAAATATGTTATTTGTAAAAAAATTTCCTATTTTTAAAAACATATACTTATTATTTAAACTAATAGTATTTGTTTCTTAAAACATTTATAGCACACAATATTAGCATGTTTGTTTTCTAACAGTTTATTTGTTTGTTTTTTTTTAAATGAGGAGGCAAATGTTTATTGGTGAATTCCTCAACAGTCAAAAAAAAAATTTTAACATTTTTTCTGGCATTTTTTTTTTTAGCTTGACCAAAATCTTCACCTGTTACTCATAAACTAGTTAATCATTTCTAATCATTCATTCTATGATCAATTTAAAAAATTAATGATAATAAAAATGAAAAATTTTTTGTTAAAAAGCAATTTCCAAACTAAAAATTTTTTCATAAATTTGTTATATAGTTTACTAAAAAAATTGTCAAAAATAATTTTACTTTCAGACTTGATTATGATTTATCTGGCGATGTATTATGTATTATGTATTATGTACATACAGTTATAAATGCATTAAGCACTTTTGTAATAGGATGAAAAAATATTATTCATTTAAAATTATGATGAAAAAAAATAGTTGAATATAAAACAAACATGAAAAAGTAACTTAAATCAAATTAATATAAATTATTTTTTTTTCTTTAACATAGTTTAGAAATTTTAAAAGTAAAAAAAAAAAAAGAATTTATTTAGTTTAAAATAAAATAATTTATTAAATAAAAAAATATAAAAATAATATAATAGTTTATTAAAAATAATATAATAATAATAAAATAATTTTTTAAATAAAAAAATTAAAAATAATATTTTATTATAAATAAATTTAAATTTTTTAAAAATGGAAAGTAAAAAAAATTTAACTAATCTGTTTTTTCATTTGAAAAAAAAAAAAATTCCAGGGGAAAAAACGGCATAGTCACATTTAAAAAGTTTTGAGAAAGTATATATTGATCATTTATAAAAGTCTTTGTATAAAGATAGGTAAAAAAACATTTTAATAAAAATTACAAAAATTTTATTAAAAATGTTAACTAAATTAATCTAGAAATACTTTTTATTAAAAATTTTATTAAAAATGTTAAATTAATCTAGATATGCCTTTTTTCCTAATTTTTAAGTTTCTTTGTTTTTTATGAAGACTTATCTAAATATATATATATATATATATATATATATATATATATATATATATATATATATATATATATATATATATATATATATATATATATATATATATATATATATACATATATAAATAGTTTATGAAGTAATTAATTGTTGTAAAAAATATTTTTAACAAAATTGTGAAATAATTGAAGAGCCCAGGGGAAAGTACGGCATAGTCACATTTAAAAAGTTTTAAGAAAGTATATATTGATCATTTAGATAAGTCTATATGTATATGTATATAAATTTTTATATGCAAAAATAATATTTGTATATGTATATATAAATGTGTGTGTATATATATATATATATATATATATATATATATATATACACAAAATCCCAGTTAATGTAGCAGCACTCCTGGCATGTTCTACCTATTTTTCAGTCCATGTATGTACACTGCTTGTATGTTCTACCTATTTCAATCAATGCATGTGCACTCCTTGCATGTTTCACCTATTTCAGTTGATGTTTGTACTCTTAAAAAAAAAATAGTATAAAATATTTAAAAATGTATAAACAAACGCATTCCGCTTTTCTTGCTAATTTAAGATTAAGAAAATATTCAATTTCTTAATTGAAACTTTCCATTAAATTTAATTATATAATCAATTAATTTACAATCAATAGTTATTTAAAATTATTTTTTAAGAATTAGTAGTTTTAATTTAATTACAAGGAAATTAAGTTAGTAATTTTTTTAAATAAACCCCCCTGTCAATTTTATATATCTTTACCCCAGCTTTTTATTTGTTTTTGACATTTTTATGACATTTGGCATATTTTTTAAGTTATTTTTATTTATTTAATAATATTAAAAAAAAACATTATTTTAGGAAGTTATTGTTTAGTTTAATAATTATTTTTTGTTAATATTTTTTTAAGTCAAGGTGAGAAAAAGCAGTATGTTTACATAGGAAGATGGAAAGATAAAGGTAAAGATAAAGTAGTTACAGAAGTGGAGGTTGTTAAACCACATTCAATTAAAACAAATGTATGGCAAACATTAATGGTTCGTATCCGCAATAATCAAGTCACAGTTAGTATTGACTGTAAAGAAGTTGCAACTCAAAAAATGGACGCATTAACAGAGACTTACATATTGAAAGGTTTTTTAACATTAACTCAAATAACTGAAATAGTTGGTTTTGGAAATGAAGAAGTGACTCAAAGATTCTTAGTAAGTTTTTTTTCATATGTATAACTGGTTTTTAAGACTTTAAAATGTTTAAAAAATTTTGAAAATTTTAATTTTTAAAGCCATTAAAAGTTTAATTGAAACTTTTGTTTCTATTTTGTTTTTGTTGTTTAAAAGTTGAGTTCATTAACTTATTATCACAATGGCAGTTTAAGATAATTTCCAATATTTAAACTAAGTTTTTATAATTAATTAAACTAAAATTTAGTAGGTAAACAGATTCTATCTGTTGACAAGTTTTACACCACTTCTTTATCTATTATGCTGGCACAGATGTATTTATAATACATTGTTTCCAATTTAGGATGTTGAATGCTAGATCTTCTGGATTTTTTGTTTTGCTTGTGTCTCTGTTTTGATGACTAGGCAACTAATTCTATTAACTCCTACATTACAGTACTAAAATCAGTTTTATGGTTCTGAAGCTGGCTGGTAGTCAGGTTTTCCAAACTCAGTGGTAGCTCTCAGAGAGGCTGATTCCATCAACAAAATATCAGAGTACTATAACAGTGTTCAATTTAAGTCCAGAACAAAATATCTGATCTAAACTTGTTTGGGTCGGACAGTGTTTTTATGGTTTTACAGAACCGTGTTATGCAATTGAAATCTCTGTCATGTTATTCAGTTTATTTAATGTTAGTTTGGTGAAGATTTAGTTACTTTCCTTATTATTTAGAATATTTGATCACAGATTTTTGTTTTTTAATAAAACAGTTTCAATTAAATGTTGTATGTTTTTTTAGATAGACTTAAATTTTCACACTGTAACTGATAGTGCTTATTCATTTTTTTCTTTACAATTTGACAACAGCTGTTTTGATGTTTTAAAAATTTAAATTCAATTTAAAAAATTGTGACATGAAAAGCTTTTAATTATTAATCTTTTTTAAAGTTTTTATTTTATGTGAAGTCTCTAAATAAAATCAAAAATTAATCATAATGATTGTTTAAAATAAACGTATTATGCGAGCCTTCCCGAGAAAGGCATGTGGTTTTTTGTCTTGTATGACCACAAGCAAGTATTTTATTTCAGACAACTTGGTCATGGCTGTTTACAAGTTTTATTATAATCATTGCGTGAAAAAAAACAACTAACAAAATAAAAAATAAATCAAAATATAAAAAAATAGAAAGAATTTAATAATTAAAATAATTTGTGTACTGTTTTTATTTTTGTTTCTTTTGACTGGTTGTTACATTCAGCAACAAAATTAGAAAAGGTGAAACAAAAATTAAAAAAAAAAATTTTAAGTCTACATTTAAAAGAATGACTTTAAAAACGCGCATTGGTTTTAAAATTAACGCGCATTTTTACGAACTATTACCAACGTTTTTCATAACGTTAAACTTTTTATAAAGTACGTTTTTATAAAGTTGTTTAAGTGATTTGTAAAAGTTCCTGAAGTTTTTAATAATATTTGAGTAATTTAATTTCAATTTAAAAGTATGTACATCGATTTTCTAATTTATCACAATTAACCAGCTAATCAATAGAAAATTTAAAATTCTGACTAAAGATCCTAGTTTGCCAACATAAAAAGATAATTGGCAAACTTTTGCAGGATTTTTTGATGTCCCAGATGGGACACTTTCACACATTGTGCAAACTCCAAATTTAAGTATGTTTATACCTATGCCATATAAGAAGGCCTTGAAAAAAATTAAGAAAGCAAAGGCCTGGGAGCAAAAAAGCCCTCACGCTTGGGCAGGGGGAGGGGCAAACTTTTTAGGGCTTTTTTGTTTCCAAGCCTCCGCCATCCTAATTATTTTTGGGATGGTGGAGGCCCAAAAGGCCTTCTCATTTGACATTATACTTAAGTTTTAGGGCTTGTACAAATTTCACACATTTGGCATAGGCATACTTATGTTTGGAGCTTGTGCAAGCTCCAAACAAAGTATACCTATGCCAAATGTGAGAGTGTTCTATGTGAGAGTGTCCTATCTTAAACATCAAAAAATCCTGCGGGCTCCAATGCATACATGCCACCCGTTATATACTGGCCCTGAGTAAAGCGTATTTCAGAGAACCTTTTTTTGAGTTGACAAAGAACAGGTTTTAGCAGTGCCGTGGCTAATTGGAGCCCCCTCCCCCTCCCAAAACAAAGTGTCATTTGGGTCTCAAAATCTCCCAAATATTACCGCTAGGTTTTACTAAAATAAAGGCTCCTTAAATTAGCAAAAGGGTAGAAAGTTTTCTGCCCCCCTTCATCCCTCCCCCCCCCCCTTCCTCTCCTTTTAAATTAAGGGGTACGGGTAACATATCTACAGCACTGGGTTTTAGGCTTTGTTTTCAATATTACTGATCTTGCGAAGGATTCGTTTTTTACGGACCTACTAAATAGGGGTGCCTGAAAAAAATGTCCATCTTAAGTATAGTTAATTTTTATTTGCTTCCTCATTAAAGTACTGTATGGCTCGACTAGGGATCGAGCACTGGCCTTAGTCACCGCAGTCCACAGCATTAACCGCTTAACCAAGAGAACTTGTTAATATCGTATCATTTAACTTTAATATTTGCATATATATTTAAAAACATTTTTTAAATTGGAATCCTGTGCCACAAACAAAGAGCTTTTGGGTTGTATAAAGTATCTAAGTTACCTCCTCCGCATTTTATTTTTCCATAAACTTTTTCATTGAAAAAAAAAGTTTGAGGGGAGGGGGTTTTAAAAATGTACATACTTTTTATGTATGTATAAAAAGTATGTACATTTTATGTATGTATGTAATTTTTAATTATGCACAGCAACAGGGGAGGGTGGGGGTCAAATTTCAAAATTTTAGGCGTACGTACTTCATGAATGACCCCTAATAAGTGCTTTATAAAAGTAATAACACTATTATAGTTTTATTACTTTTATAATGCAGTTAGTGAATAAAGTGTTACTACTTTTGTGTCATAAGTTTATTATTTTGTTTTATTTTTTACGACTTTCTTGCTAACAAACTTATAATAATTTGCTCCTTGAAAACAAAAACACAGCTTTGCATAAAATTTTGAAGACCAGATATTTTTCCAGAGTTTGCAAATCGCGATCACTTGATATATACTTGTAACATTAAAATTATACTAATATATTTTACAAACAGATGACGGAACAAATTTTTGCTTTCCTCTTTAAAAAAAAACAACAATAAAATAAAAATAGATATATAACAATAAATATAATATAGGAAATTTAGAAGTATGTTCTTTTTAATGTTTAAAACTGTTTTTTTTGTTTTTTTTTTTGTTTTTTTTTTTGCTTTGAATGAAGAAAAATAAAAACAGTTCACAAATTATTTAAACTTTTATTATTATTTTCTATTTAAGTTTATTTTTAATTCCTTTTTGGTTATTTTGCTTACTTTGTTTTTAAAACTTTTTTCAGCAATGCATATAATAAAACTTGCAAACAGCTGTGACAAGTTGTCTAAATTAAAATACTCATGCCTTTCCTGAGAAGGCTTGTTATGTGTAAATTAAATGTTATATTTAAATTTTTTGAGTAGGAATGTACTTTTTATGATGAATTTAAACATTTGAAACTATTATTCCATGTCTTTCTAAAAATCTTTGTATATTTTTTAAGTTACTTTAAATGAAAAAAATTATGTCTTTACAAAGAATTGTTTGAAAGTTTTTTTTTAGACATGACTTACTAATTAAAGCATGAAAAGACTACGTTATTTTTTTTGCAATGTTTCAAAAGAAATGTACTAGGTTGGTTGAAAAGTTCGCGGAGCGGCACCTATGTTGCAGTAGTAGAAACAAATTTATAACTGTATTAAACGTATTCATTCTTCGTATGAACGCATAAAAAATTTCAAGTCGATATGTCATTTCAGTCTTTGTTTACAAGCTATTGAAATTAGACGTGTCATAGTATTTTTTAAAATGGAAAATATTGAACATCGTGCTGTAATAAAATTCTTTGTGAAAAAAGGTTTAAAGCCCATGGAAATTCATAATGAAATGGTAAATGTGTTGGGTGATGATGCTCCTTCAAAAACAACAGTATGCAAATGGGCTGCGGAGTTTCAACATGGGCGTTCAAGCCTTAAAGATGACCCTCGCTCTGGACGTCCAAAAAGTGCTACTACTGAAGAAACGATTAATGCTGTGCATGACATGGTTATGGATGATAGACGATTGACCAAACGTGAAATTGCTGAGGCTGTGGGCATCTCAGATGAACGGGTATTACACATCTTGCACGATGAATTACGTCTGAGAAAGCTGTTGGCAAGATGGATGCCGCATTCGCTAACTCTGGATCAGAAACGCACTCGAGTAAAACTTTCTCAAGAACATTTGGCCCGTTTTCAAAAGAATAAAACAGATTTTGTGCGTCGATTCGTAACCATGGATGAGACTTGGGTTTACCACTATGATCCGAAGCTGCGACAACAAACTGCAGAGTGGACAGAACCCGGTTATTCAGCTCCGAAGCAAGTGAAGGTGTCAAAATCGTCAAAGAAGGTTATGGCATCAGTTTTTTGGGATGCGAAAGGAATTTTATTAATAGATTACCTTCAAACCGGTAAAACGATAACAGGTGAATATTATAAAAATCTTTTGGACCAGTTGGATAAAAAAATTCGTGAGAAAAGACCTGGTTTGCTGCATAAAAAAATCATTTATCACCAGGACAACGCACCTGCTCATATCAGCGATGTTGCAAAGGCGAAATTGGTCGAATTAAAGTACGAACGCTTGGAACATCCACCCTATTCACCAGATCTGGCTCCGTCCGACTTCCACCTCTTTCCACATCTCAAAAAATTTCTACGTGGAAAGCGTTTCTCATCACATGAAGAAGTCATTGCAGCCGTAAATGGGTATTTTGAAGGCCTTCCGGAATCGCACTTCAGAGATGGGATACATGAATTGGAGAATCGTTGGAAAAAGTGTATTGCTCTTAAGGGAGAATATACTGAAGAATAAAGTCATTTTTTGAATCATAAAATTGTTTTTTCATTTCCGCTCCGCGAACTTTTCA